TGGACAGGTTATATTGGGGGTAGGGGCGAACGCCAGAGCAGCCCAGGACCAGAGAGGGAAACCTAGCCAGGCCGTCTCCAACCATGTCTGACGAGGCGTCAGCCACCACTTCGTACGAGAAGTTTCTAACCCCTGAGGAGCCCTTCCCGCTCTTAGGACCTCCTCGCGGGGTGGGCACCTGTCCAAGCGAGCGGGGGACCGCCGGGGCGCCCCCCCCCCAACAAGCCCCCGTTCTGGTCCTTCGCCCCTGGCTGCACTTCCAATCGCCCCTTCCCCCACCTTCCTTTGACCAGCGCTCATGCCCGGGTTCACGCCCAGGTTCCTTCCCTGCTCCCCCTCCCTATTTTCACCCCTGCCCTCCAATTTTCCGTTCTACCAGCGATTTACTCTCTTTTCCGCATTCATCTTCTGGCTACAGGGAATCCTCCCTTCCCTACCTTCTCCTTTCCCCCTTCCCGCCCCCCCGCATCTGTACCCTGCGAATTCCAAACCCCCACCCTTGATTTTTTGATGTTCCCCTGGTACCATCCATCTGCAAAAGTTTAACCCCTTCCATTTCCGGTACGCTATAGAGTGGATTTCGATGGCTCAAATCAATCCATGGATCTTTTGAAAGCTGGCACTTTTAAGGCTGAAGCCTTCTTTTACCCAATTTTTAACCTGTCTCACAGTCCTATTCCCTTCACCCACCCACCCCATTTTTTAGTGGAGCTCTAAGAAACTGGTGGATTCTTTTTTTTTTTTTTCCTTTTCTCCTTTATGAACTCTTTGCATTAGCGCTTTAGGCCCTGCCAAAATGTATAAGCTTAAATCTGGAAAATTCCTTCATGTAACATATCCCTTGGTTTGCTCCCCCAGTCGCGGGTACTGAGCAAGGCTTAGAGCAGGCTTGGTACAAATTTATTCAGAGGTTGCATCTACTAAGTGGTTGTATGGGAAGGTACCGTTCTGGAGAATTCTCTCATGTAAGCATTTAAGTGTTACATCAAATGTTGTGGGGGATTTGAAAATGTTTTACATACAACTTCAACCTTTGTTATAGATGGATATTTGAGATATGTCTACAAAGGGCTGGGAGAGTGTGTGGACAAGGGACTAGGAGAAGGGTTCAGTTATGGAAAATACTGGAGATAAATAAAGAAGTCAAGTTCTGATTTCTGATCCAGGTTTACAATGTGAGTTTGATCAAATCCTTCCAAATTCTAATGTCTTTTGCAAGTTTCCCTCCTCCCACCTCTTAAATCCATCTACAGATTTACTGAGCTTCTACCAGGAATGTGTGAGTATAAAACGGGATTTCTACCTTAAAAAAGAAAAAAAAAAGTTATAGTCTGTAGAAACAAGGTGTTATAATTAAATAATCATATGGAACATCAGTTTAACACATTTCAAAAGAAGTGGTAATAAATTTGTTACTGCAATTCCAAGTCCTCATTGCAAAAATGAAGAAACTGAGGACCAGAGAGAAAAGACTGAGTTCAAGGTCATCACACCTAGCCAGGTGAGCCAAGATTACTCCTATGGAGCCAGTGATCAATCTTGGAACAGAACTAATGGATCCAGTGTTATAAATGGTAATTATAGGTTCTTAGACTAACTCACAGAAGCCTGTTTGACCCATGATGTAGCTATAACATGAATGTAGCATATTCATGATATCAAGTGTGTTTAAGGTATTTGCATTGGAAAATAATATAAAATAAAATAATACCATTGCACATATTTGGTATTTAATTTTTGTAGCATTGGAGCAAGTAATACATACAGGAAAGTTAAATGATGTCTAAATTAGCCTGCTCTCATAATGAGGGCAGGGGAGTGGGGGCAGAGGTTGAGGGTAAGCACTGCCAGAACTGGTGGAGGTGATGGGGAGTGAAGCAAGGAGAAGAAGTTATCTCTTACAGCTTGTTCTGAACTGGTGGAGGTGATGGGGAGTGAAGCAAGGAGAAAAAGTTATCTCTTACAGCTTGTTCTGTTCTTCCTCCTCCCGATTTTTTCTTTGTTTTTTCTTCCCCTTTTCTTAAAGACTGTGGTAAATAAGGTCAAGGCTATTTTCCCAGAATGAAACAGGGTGGAGGGGGAGGTTCCTGTCTACCCCCATTTTTTCTAAGTCAAGCATTATTTTTTGTAGATACTGCCTGCTTTTTTTTTTTTTTTTTTTTTTAGCCTTCCTCTCCTACGCTTTCACAAGGCTTAGAATGTTGCAGGGGGTTGTAATGCTTTGTATCCTTTTCAGCAGAGATTAGGAGAAGCAGAATTAGCAATATTTACAGCAGATGATGTTTCTACCCTAGGGAACTTTGCTTTTTAAATCTTTTCTGCTTCTGGAATGTTCTGCCTTCTTACCCCTCCTCAAGATGGTGTTTGAGAGGACCGTATGTTTCCAGCCATTTCTTTTGAGGGAGAAGCAAACAGCTAAATCATATATGTGAGCAAAGTTTAGTTTAGGGAGTTCTTTTATTTTGGAGTTGTATGTGTCACCTTTTTTCTTCATATCACATCATTCACCAATTGAAGCAACAATCCAAAAATAAGATCTGAATGGTTGAATACTGAAATTCTGTTTTTGGTTTAGTCATTGTAAAACAAACTTAATGGAAAATAGAAAGCTTGTCAGTGGGTAGATACTTAGTTTACCTTTATTTTACTTCCTTCTTGTTACCTGTTAAGAAAACTGTGGAGATTGTTTAAATAATGCCCTTGATAAGGGCCTTATGATGATGACAGTTTGGTGCCTGCTCCTTTACTGGATTCTGAGCAATACTTGGAGTCTTCATTAACCAAAAGATTCAGGGCATTAATACAGACTCTGAAGTTGAATGTATGCGATGTTCAGATTAGAGTTGCCAGTCATGTAGCCTGGTGTGTCACTGGTCTAGGTTCAGTAGAGAATGAATTACATGGACACAGCCACTTGCCTAAGAATTCACACCTTCCTAGGAAGTATCTTTTAAGATTTTGTGACCTAATTTGGTTTGTACAGAATTTTGGGAATATAGAATAAATTTCAATATGCCAAAAATATTGATGAACTTAAAAAAAATTTTTGAAATGTCAGTGTGGAATATATATAGTGTTTAAGATATTTTCTTTGGTTTTGGGAATAGGGTTTTTCTGATGTGAATGGGGGGGTTTTCTCTTAGCACTTCCATCAGGGCACATTTTGTGCACTAACCATGTCTACTGCAACCACCACTACCACCAAAAAAGGATGTCATATAGCAAATTGGAAGAAATTATAATATTGATAGGACCTATGATTAAATCTTGAGATGAAAGAGGTTAATGTGAACTACCAGATGTGTTATTTTCTTCATCTTTCAGGAGTGCATCAGACCTTGACATTGAACAATTGTGAAAAGTGTGTGGGAGGACAGTGCCTTACTTTTGTACACCCTATTGGCAGGATATGAAATGAACTATTGTATAAATGAGTTACGTAGCCCCATTTTCAATCACCATTAACCAGAAAAACTCCAAGATTATTGTGTGCCTTTTGTACAACCCACAGTTTTCCTATCTAGATAAAGACTTAGAGGTGCAGAAGAACCGTGGGTCACAGATGGGTGAACCACATTGGAAGAATTTGGTTTGCGGACTTGAGACGAGTTGAGAATGGAGGTCAGGCTTTGGAGAAATATCCAGGCTAGAAATATAGATTTGCGAGTAATCTACAAAAATTTCAGTAGTGTGATAGGAATGGAACGACAGGTTACAAAAGTTGAGAGAGTGAAAGCTCTTTTCAATGAATTTAGCAAGGAAAGGAAGAAGGAGATGGAGATGTAGTGATAATTTGAAAGGGAAGTGAGTGTTTCTTCATTTGTTTTTTGCTTTGGTTGGTTTTTCTTTTCCAAGAATAGTTTTGCTCCATAGTCATAGGCCACAGGAAAGGAAGAAGTTGAAAATACAGGAGAGGGTGGGATTAGAGGAGTTGGAGGTGAGGAACTCAGAAGCCCAAATGGGAGAATTAGCCTTAGAAATGAAAGGGAATGTTTTTTACTTCCATGGAGGGTAGGAAATATGGGTAATGATCCTAAGACAACTGGCATAGCTGGGAGGAGAGTAGGGAACTTAAGAAAGTAGGGTAGAGGGTTGTGTCATCTGTTCTAACTTGCAACCTTGATGGCCTTTTGGGCTCCAGAGGTATAGGAGAGATCAGGGTGGCTGTAGAGGGATTCTGGCAGGGAGTCAGTGATGACCACAAGGGATGATGGGAGACTGTCCCCTAAGAATGAATGCCTAGCATAGATTTGGAATGACTTTCATCAGCTTAACAGTTAAAACTTTATTCAGTAGTGCTCATTGGCTGATTCTCATCCTGAGAGGTAATGGTTAGGTTCCCTTGAGAGAGGAGGGGGCTGCAGAGGAATGTGTACATGGTGCATGTGCTTTTCTTAATTTTAACATTTAAATGGCTGTTTACCAAAATACCACTTGGAAGTCCTTAGTCTGTATATTCTTGCTCAAAAGCCTTACAGAGAAATGTTCTTGGCTTTCCTTTTTTTTTTTTTTTTAGTTAAAATTTGGGCAACAAGCCTAGTAATTGAGTTAATTACACTTTCAATGGGATTCTTCTCCACATTTTCTTTTAAGATTTTGGAGAAAGTCCCTTGAGAGTAATGTTATGGTTATAGCTAGAATCTTAGTGTTGGGCAGGTTTTTCTTAGTGGAATAAGATGTTAAGAGCTTGTAAATTTAAATAGTTCAGTGCTGAACACACAATGGGCATTTATTACAAGTTTGAAACTGACAGAACAATCTAAAATAATCACACTTAAATGTTTATTATAAAAGCTCATTATAGAAAATTGTGAGCATATAAAAAACTATAAAGACCACTCATGATCCCTTTCCCCAAAGGTAACAACTGTCAACATTTTGGTGTTTTTTTAATGTTATTTCTATGTACATATATAATTTTTAAAAATCAGGATCAAGATGTATATGCAATTTGTGACCTGCTTATTTTCACTTGTATTGTTTAGTGTTTTTCTTTTCAATAGTCTGAAAAGATGATTTTTGGTATTTATAAAAATACCATTATTTAGATATATTATTTAACTATTCCTCGTGTTTTGGGGCATTTATTTTCCCTTTTTAGCTGTTATAATAATGTTTGGACATGTTTGGACATACATCTTTCCAAATTTCTGAGTCTAAAGGAATGAACCTTTTTAAGGCTTTTGATATGCATATACTACCAAATTGCTTTTCAGAAAGATTATGTCAATTTACATTCCCACCAGCATTGGATAGAGTACTTCCTACTTTGTTTTTATCAACATTGCCTTAAAATATAGTTAAAATAATATTTGCAAATTAGAAGATATAGAATTAAAAAATATTTTAATAGTAAAAATACTATTTTTCTATTTTGTAAATGATTTCTTTCAACTGTGAGTCCAGCTTACATGCCAATGATAATTTTCTTTAAAAAAGGCAAAGGCTTTTGAGAATATCTGGAATGTTGTTATCTAGTCATGAACTTGAAAAATTGAGGAACATACTGATTTTGCCCAGAAGTAAGAGCACAAAACCAAGCAAATTCCTGACTCCTTTGTCAGTGATCTAATGGTTAGATTATTAAGTATGGCATAGTTTAATAAAAGGAATGTTGTTATTACTCATGGAGGGAAACACATTTCTACAGAATTTTTGTAAGCTGAAAAGAAATTCTAATTAAAAACAATTATCTAACAGCTTTGCCTAGCACTGAAATAATATTTGGCACATAGAAGATACTGACTAAATGTTTGTTGAATGGGTGAATGAATAAAGCGGGAAAAAAAGTCACATACAATTAGAAAAAATAGGTTGCTCAGGACGCATGTGTCCAGGACAGAACTTGTGATTGCTGTTCGTATCTTTTATTACAAGACCTGGGAAATTTGGTTAGTTCTACTAGGTTTGCTAATCTTTAAAAAGTGCAAAAAAAAAAAAAAAAAAAAAAGTGCGGATACTGCCCACTTAGCAAGCATATGATGAAAAGCAGTATTATAAGGTATTCTAGGATTCTTAGATGAAGATTTTTGCCTACTTATAAAAATTTATTGACATCTGATTTTTATTTACTGAATTATAATAGCTTAGTGTGTATGTTTCTGTGTGTCTCTCTCTGTGTTTTAATGCTTTAAAATGCTCTACTTTTAACTCAAAGGAAAAGGTGCCATAAAATTTTTCGAGTTGCCAAGATTTTGTAAATCAGGAACCTCTGAATTTAAGATTAGCCATACAAAATAAGGGAGGAAGTTAAAAAATGAACTACATAATTAAGAAAAACTGGATTTAATGAAGGATGAGAAAAAATAATAGGTAAGTAACAGGCTTTTCTTCAGGAAATCATTATTTCAGTAGCTTATTAGTATTGGAAATGCTAAATCATTACCTTAAGGATTGATTCCCTACGCTACTGCTAAAGCAATGAAGATTATCTCATTAATAATATAAAACTAGTGGAAATTTACAAAAGAAAACAGATTGATAGGTTGATAGATTTCAAGACCCCCCCAAATAAAACAAAAAAAACCCTGCAATAAATACTGCAGACAAAAATGTTAATATCCTTGATACATAAAAAACCTTACAAAATAAAAAATAAAAACATTAACACATAGAAAAACACCATAGCAAAATAGCTAACAAATATTTTAAATTGTGATCTTGTTAATCAAAGAAATACAAATTGATATAAAAATGTTTCTGTCTTATCAGATAGGTAAAAAATTTTTCAATAAAAATTTTAGTGCTGTTAAGGTTGTGGTTAGATGAGCACTTTTATATACTGCCTTGGGCAGTGTAAATTGGTGCAGGCTTTCAGAAAGGCTAAATATACCATGACCCTTAGAAGTGTTCACATTCTTTGACTCAGTACTTACCTTTTAAGCAGTTTATCCATGAGAGAATTTATATTTGGACAAATCACTATAAACCGAAAGGTTCATTTCAGTATTATTTGTAATTCAAAAAAATTGGAAATAGCATATGTGTATATTATTGGGGGAATAAGGTTAAATACATTATGATAAATTTAATCAATTAAATATTATATAGGCATTCAAATATTTTTAAGTAATGTGCTTAGGAAAATGATAAGTATATATAATTTAGTGGAAAAAAGATACTAAAATATGTATACGCAGAATGATTGCTGATTATGTAAAAAACATATATGTACATAGAAAAATAATACCAAAATATTATGGGTTAGTTATTGCTGGGTAATGGGATTATTGGTCATTTTAATCTTTTTCACTCTTTTCTCATTCCAACATCTTTGTAATGAGCTTGTGTAACATTAATATGTAAAATTTACTTAAATATAACAAACACTTCTTGAACTTCTACCTGTGTTCTTTGTTGGTGCTCTTCTCTGCCCTGCAGTGGCTCCCCTCTTCCTTTAATTTAATAATAATAGCTGCCATGTATTGAGCACTTTTTACGTGTACTAAATGCTCTGATGCATTCTCATGTAATCTTCACAAAAACTCTATTTTAAAGATGGGGACACAGTTTTGGAGAGTCTGTAATTTGCCTAAGATCAAGTAGTTAGCAAGTGACAGAGCAAGAATTTGAACTCAGTCTGACTCCAGAGCTTACTCACGACTGCTATGCTATAGGTTTTGCTAATGGATGTGGGTTTTAGAGGAGTGTTTGAAAAGTTCATGGAAAGATTCATATTTTTAATTCTACTTTTCCACGAACTTTTTGAAGTACCCTCGTACTTTATTTCTAATTTAAATACATCCTTCTTTTAAGATATTTTATTATAAAATTTTTCAGACAGCTGCAAAAGTAGAGAGAATAGTGTAATGAACCCCATATACCTGCTGCCCCGCTTCAACAATTATTCATATATGGCATCATGCTTCATCTATACCCCTGCTCATCCCCCACCTGTTATTATTTTGAGGCAAATGCCAGACATATTTCATTTATAAATATTTTAGTATTTTTCCTGAAAAGGTAGGGGCTTTTTTCAGTATAACCACATCATTATCATACCTAAAATGTACTTGCATTCTTCTTAAATGTCATAAATGTGTTCTAGTAATGTCTTAAAATTGTGTGGATTCTGCAGTTTCTGTTGTACTTTTTCTTTTTTCTTTTTTTTTGCATGTATTGTGTTTTTGAAGGTGGAACCTAACTTCTTGTGGAACAAGTGTTGCCAGCTCAGAATGCAGTGAGGAACTGTTTTCATCAGTTTCTGTTGGAGATCAAGATGATTGCTATTCCCTGTTGGATGATCAAGACTTCACTTCTTTTGATTTATTCCCTGAGGGGAGTGTCTGCAGTGATGTCTCTTCTTCCATTAGCACTTACTGGGATTGGTCAGATAGCGAGTTTGAATGGCAGGTAGGTTTTTTTTTTTTTTTCTTTTATTGGCATCATTACTACATAAGTAGATGTATAAATTTTTCTTTTGATATTTTCATCTCTACCTCAAAGTAAATTTCTCTAGTGTTTATCCTATTGTGGAGATTCTCTGACAACATACTTTAAGGTTAAAAATTAAATGGATATGTATCCTTTATTTTTGCTAATGTACCGTTTAGGCTTCTGATGCTACAGATATCTTTTTGTAGATTTTCATTATATTAATATAATTTAATAAGTAATTTGATATTTGTTTAATATTACCATTATTATGTATCATCAGTACCTTTCTATGCATGAATCCAAGCTAGTTTACTTTTCTTACCTTATAATAAATAGCCTTTTTGCCCTTATAAGAAACACATCAGGATCATGTAATGTATCTAATACCATAAATCATAATTACAAATCCATAATTTTTGGTTCTTTTATCAGAAATAAAGTTTAATTTCTCATTTTGTATTCTCTTTGTATGTAGAGATTTTTTTTGCCTGACATTGTTTTTTCTTCTTGTGGCATGTGTACCATGTAAAATGGCTTTGTGGCAAATTGTTTGAAAATGCTGCTTTATAATGAGTGCAATCTATCAGAAAATGTAGATCGTGTTATTGAACATCCATTTTCTGATTGTAACAGACAATGACATTTCAAGAAGCTTTTCTTCCATATAGCAAATGTTTTATTCAGTAGATAAAATTGAATGCCTACTATGTTTGAAAGCCTTCTAAACATTTGAAATTGTATTCCATAAGAGAAATTGAACATTGTTTTATTTCAAACAGTTTTCAAGTAATACAAAATGGCATCAAATTAAAAATGAGTCTCCAAGTCCGACTCCACTGTGGTTACCACTGTTAAGAGCTTATCCTGATACATGTATGTTTGCATATCATTATAAGCACCCAGATGGGGTCATACTTCATCCATTGTTGGCCCTATGCTTTTTTTCAACTAATATATCTCATTCTTTTTCATAACTACATAATTTATTTAATTAGTTCACTAATAATGGTCATTTAGGTTGGTTTCAGGTTTTTGTTGTTACAAGCAATGCTACACTGAGAATTAAGAGAAGTTTTTAAAGAGAAAAAGATCATTCACAGCCCCTCCATTTTAATTTTTATATTATTTCAACTTCTGTGTTATATATAGTTGTAAATATCATTTGAGTATACAATTATTGAAACTTTTAAAAACTTTTTAAAAAATTGAGATAAAATTCACCATTTAAATCATTTTAAAATGTACAATTCAGTAGTTATTAATATATTCACAGTGTTGTACAGTCATCAGCACTAATTCCAGGATATTTCTATTAACCCAAAAAGAAACTCCATATCCATTAGCACGTATTCCCAATTTCCCCCTGCCACCATCACCTGGCAACCACTGATCTATTTTTTCTGTAGATTTGCCTTTCTGGATATTTCATATAAATGGACTCATATAACATGTTGGCCTTTTGTGTCTGGCTTCTTTGACTTCAGATAATGTTTTCAAGATTCATCCATGTTGTAAACTGTAACAGTACTGTACTTCATTCCTTTCTATGGCTGAATAATTTCCATTATGTGGATATACCACATTTTATTTATCCATTCATCAGCTGATAGACATTGGGTTGTTTCCACTTTTTGGCTATTATGAATAATACTGCTATGAACATTCAGGTACAAGTTTTTAAATAGGTGTATATTTTTAATTCTCTTGGATATACCCTTAGGAGTAAAATTGCTGGGTCATATGATAACTCTATGTTTAACTTTTTGAGTAACTGCCAACATATTTTCCAGAATGGCTGCACCATTTTACATTTCCACCAGCAATGTATGAAAGTTCTAATTTCTCCACATCCTTGCCCATACTTGGTATTGTCTGTCTTCTTGGTTATAGCCGCCCTATTGGGTGTAAAGTGGTATCGTTGTGGTTTTGATTTGCATTTCCCTAATTACTTATGGTTTTGAGCATCTTTTCATGTGCTTATTGCCCATTTGTATATCTTCTTTGGAGAAAGGTCTATTCAAATCTTTTGCCCATTTTTAAATTAGTATTTGTGTTTTTGTTGTTTGTCTTATTGTCGTAAGAGTTTTTTCCCATATTCTGGCTACTGGATCCTTATCAGATGTATGATTTGCAAAACTGTTTTCTCATTCTGTGGATTGGATTGTCTTTTCACTTTATAGTATCCTTCGATACACAAAAGTTTTTAATTTTGATGACATCCAATTTATTTTTTCTTTGCTGTACTTATGTCATATTTTTTAAAAAAACAATGCCTAATCCAAGATTATGAAGATTTTTACCTGTTTCCTTATCAGAGTTTTAGAGTTTTAGTTCTTACATTTAGGTCTTTGATCCATTTTGAGTTATGTATATGGGGTAAGATAGGGGTCCAACTTCATTCTTTTGCATGTGGATATCCAGGTGTCCCAACAACATTTGTTAATAAGTCTATTCTCTCCTCAGCAAATGGTCTGAGCACCCTGTCAAAAATGAATTGATCATACATGTATGTGTTTATTTTTGGATTCTCAATTCTATTCCATTGATGTATGTGTCTATCTTTATGCCAGTACCACACTGTTTTAATTACTGTAGCTTTGTAGTAAGTTTTGAAATTGGGAAGTGTGAGTACTCCCACTTTGTCTTTTTATAAAAATTGTTTTGGCTATTTGAGGTCCCTTGCAATTGCATATGAATTTAGGATCATGCTGTCCATTTCTGCAAAAGGCACAGTTGGAATTTTAAATCTGTAGATCACTTTGGGGAGTACTGCCATCTTAGCAATATTAATATTTCAGTCCATGAATATGGGATGGAATTTATTTATTTATGTTTAATTTTTTTCAATGGTGTTTTGCAGTTTTCAAAGTCCAAGTCTTATACTTGCTTGGCTAAATTTATCCTTAAATATTTTATTCTTTTTAATTCTGGTTGTAAATGGTATTTTTTCCTTATTTTTATTTCTGGATTCATTGCTAATGTATTTATGGAAATACAATTGATTTTTTTATTGATTTTGTAACCCGCAACTTTGCTGAACTTGTTGATTAGTTTTAATAGTTTTTTTTTTCCTTTGTGGATTCTTTAGGGTTTTTGATATTAAATATCATATTATCTGTGAATAGAGATAGCTTTCCTTCTTTTTTTTTTGTTTCCAATCTGGATGCCTTTTATTTCTTGTTTAATTGCCCTGTCTAGATCTCTAGTACAGTGTTGAATAGAAGTGGTGAAAGTGGGCATCCTTGTCTTTTTCCTGATCTCAGAGGAGAACTTTTATTCTTTCACTGTTAAGTATAATGTTAGGTGTAGGTTTTTCATAAATGCCCTGTATCATACTGAGGAATTTCCCTTCTATTTCTAGTTTGCTCAGTGTTTTTATCATGAAAGTTTATGGGGTTTTGTCAAATGTTTTTTGTGAATCTATTGAGATTATTGTGTTTTCTCTTTCCTTCGTTCAGTTAATATGATGTATTACATTGATTGATTTTCGTATATTGAACCACACCTTTGCTTTCTTGGAATAAATCCTAATTGGTCATGGTATCTAATCCTTTTAATATGCTTCTGCATGCTGGTTGTGCTGTTGTGTCTTTGTCTTTTATATCACAGTAATATGGGCCTCATAGAAGAAGTTAGGAAGATTTTCTTATTTAACATATCATAAATTTTTTCATGATCTTAATAATGAATTTTTAATGACTGTGTAATATTCCTGCTATTAGATGTGCCAGAACTTGTGAAACCTTTCCCCTATTTACACCCCTTTCAATTTTTTTCTATTATAGGTAACACAGCAGTTATCATTTTCGTGTGGGTACCTTTTTATTCTCAGTGTCTCATTTTCTTTTTAGTGTATACTTTGTATTTAAAATCAGAGTGTAAGGATTCTTAATAAAACATAATCAGATGGGATCCTAATAATTCTGAAAACAAAATTTTTTCTGCTTATTTCATGTGATATTTAGGGTTCTTAATCATACATAATGTTGCAAGGTGGCAGGCATTTTTAAATTTTAATTGCTGGCTTCTTCACTCATTTCATGAGCAGTTAGAGTGGAAAGCCATCTCTAACCACTCATGGTTAATGTACATGAGTGACTATGACATTGGAACAAAAATCAGGCCTGCCTTAGTAATGTGTTTTCCCACTTCTGAAATTGGAGTATGGGTACTCTGTTACCATGGATATTTGCTATTTAAATATGCTGAAAGGTTTAAAATGCTGTCTTGTGTTTGCGGGACCTCATAATGATGAGCAGTAAATTATCTAAGAAGTTAATTACAAATGATATGTTAGGATTAATATAGACTAAAAATCATTTACCATAGTTTAAAATTTTGTATTACTTCTGTTGTGATTGATAACTGCATCTATTTAAATCTTTCTTTTTAACAGATGTTTCAGTGATTACTAAAGTAAATATAAGTGATTTGTAGATTCTCTGGGAAGAGAAATACTAACTACTTGATAATGCTAGATGTTAACTTTAGAATGAAGTAGCATTATAGCATTTGAAGTAGCATCAAAGCGTTTTGCTTTGCTGATAGTTTCTTTGCTTGCAGTCCTTTTATTATTAAAGATATATTTGACTAGTCTTAGAGCTTGAGAAATTTATTTCCGTTGTTGAGCAGGAAAGCTTAGAAAATTTAAAGAGTGAGTAATTCAGCTGTCACACTTGAAACCTAGAGGTGCAGTCTGAAATTACACATCATCTGTTAAAGAAATGACTTTAATCATAAAATTTTGCTGCATCCTGAAGAAAATATGGCAGAGGTTTGATTTAATTCTCCCCATGTGTCACAATTGCTGACTATAATATAAATTTACCAAATATCGTCCATGAAAAATATGAGGGTATTATTAAGCATTTTTATTCCGTAATATATTATCAGTCATAACGTAGAAAATTGCTGGTATAATAAATACTTGTGTAGAGGAGCCCATACAATTAATTCTGCTGTACAACAGCTACTATAATCCCATATCACCAATTGACTACTTGACATTTCCACTTGTATGATCTCATTATTTAATACTAACCTATCATCTGATGCTAAATCCTTGGTCAGTGATGTAACTTCCAATTACAGTGTTTCCATGGGAAAGAGTAGACTCTGCTTTGTGACATATCTTATAGCATAGTGAAAACTGACTGTTGTCTGTTCAAAGGATACTTGTGCTTGCTTCTCCCATTATCACAACAAACTCTCCATATCCCAAATTGCATTCTTCTCTCATTCCAAACTACCTCCAAGGAAAGACTGCCTGGCATAGTTAAAAGCACAGTACTTGTGTCTTAGTTTGAATTCTGCCACTAGTTGTATGATCCTCCCTGGACATTATTTTTTCTTGTTTGTAAAATGAGGATTTTGGACTAGAAGATCAATAACATTGTTTCAGTTCTCATGCTGTAAAAATTTAGGTCTTTAAGTGTATCACCCTGGGTGGGTGGTATGACCTTGAAATGTCACCCGTTTCTTCTGGTTTCAACATCTGACTCTTTATTACCATTATTTGGTTATCAAACAAATTGTAAATTGTTTTTCATGTGAAATTTTTCATATCTTTCCTCACTCTATTTTGTCCCCATAGTGTTTTTAAACTAGTCTTCCCTAAGACCAGTTTCAAGTTACTTCTACTTAGTAAATGTTATCGGCCCACTTACACATATCATATGACAGCTTCCGGTTCTTCCATTGAGCTTTCAAATCCCCAACACTGATTTTCTGGGTTTTTTTTTTTTTTTCCTTTTTTTGTCTTTTTTTGTGACTGGTAACGGAATCACAACCCTCAGTGTCGCGCCCATACCACGACCGGAAACGGGATCGCAACCCTCGGTGTCACGCCTGCACTGCGCTCAACCAGTGAGCGGACCGGTCTCTATATGGGATCCGAACCCTCTGCGGGAGCGCCGCCTGCGCTCCCAAGTGCCGCACTCTACCAAGTGCACCACCGGGCCGGCCCCGATTTTCTGTTTTAATAATATTGGTCTCTTCACCTCACTCTATGTTTGCTTCCATCTATGATTTTCTAAATTATTCTTCTTACCTGAATGCCTTTTCCTTTTTCCCCATCTTGTCATCTTGAGACACTACCTTGTGAAACTTAACCCAGCCACTTTAGCAACATCTGGCATTCTCTAAGGGTTTATGATACCTTTTTTAAGTGTTCAAAACCATAGCAAGGGATGGAAAAAGAAAAATATATATTTTGAGTGTTGCATATGTGCCAGGCATGTTATCAAATTTAAACTCCTTAGCAGTCTTTTGAGATTGATGGTATTAACCATATTTTACTGAAGACTCTGAGGCTCCAAGAAGCAAACTAACCTACATAAGGTCACACTGCTAGTGAGCAGTGGTGCTGGGATTTGAATTCTGGGGTCTTTTTACTTCTCCCTGAAAAAATGACTAAAGAACTACTAATTGCCCTTTTTACACCCCCTCACCCCCATCAAACACATAAACAGAATTAAAGGTACAGATTTAAATCCTTAGCATATAGTCTGGCACCTAGCAGATAGTCTAAAAATTTAGATGAAATTTTTTCCTAAAATTTGAAAGTATAGAAATTTTGAGAGTTCCTTTTTCTACTTCATTTATCAAAGTAGCTTAAAGTAGGGGAGGCCTTTCCCTCTGATAAGGAGTGTCTCATTTGGTTTAAGGGACTCCAGGGTGATCTCTAATATAGTAATACTGTGATTTGAAGTCCTGAAGTCAAAGGGAAAATAACAAAGAATTTTCTTTTTTGCCATTAAAGGCTGAGAAAGAGATGGCCTTCACATGTGCGTTCAGCAGTTATTTTTTTCATAACACCTACTAGATAAAATTAGGACTAAGGGTGAACAATTCAAGCAGTATTAGTTAATGAGATTTTAAAAGATAGCATACAAATTGTTGGAAGTTACTTATGCACTTGGATTCATCAATATCTGTCATAGTGAAAATGTGGTTTTTAAGAGTAGTAGCTACTTATGGGGGTGTAGAAAGAATGGTCTCTCTCTCTAACTTAGACAATTTCGTTCTAAATGTTATAGACATCTTACATAGTAATTGACTCCATTTTTGTGGCTTCATTCATCTCTTCTAGGCGATTGACTCCCTAATACCTGCCTCTGGTCCCTTGTTGATCTCCCAAATCTTAATTCTTCAGCTTCAACCCACTGCTAGATATTTTCTTTGATGACCTGTCATCTCAAATTTAGCATTCATGTATAACTATATGATGGATTTATTGTATTATCTTCCCAAGTAAAGTATAAAGTTCAAAGTTCTCATGTAAGGACCCTGACCTACACTCCTTTGAATTCCCTGTACCTGTTATAATACTGTGTGTACAATAGGAGTTCACATACCTGTGATTATAATAGTCTTTATGACTAAAAGTAGCTGTTCTCTTGGTAACTTCAGAAACCTCAAAATCATCCAGAGTTCAGATACAATTGCAAACTCTATAAAACCAAAAAAGAACAAAAAGCTGATGTTTTGTACCTTGTAAAAATGAAAGCTGTATCTTCGAAGGTTGTTATGTACTCCTTATAGAAGAAAAGATTTTTTTTTTTGATGAATGTCTTAAATACATTTATTTAAAATTAAGTTCATTGTAACTTTTGGAGGTGAAGGATGTTTATTACCTTGATTATGGTGATGGTTACATAGGTATATGCATATGTCCAAACTCATCAAATTGTATACATTAAATATGTGCAGTTTTTTGTGTATCAAGTACACATCAATAAAGCTATTAAAAGATTAAATCCACTATTTTTAAATAGGTAGTGTAAAGTTATAGCACATATTTTTCTATTTGTCTCAGTTTGAACTGATTTAATTTTCTGTGTGTTAGGCTTGCTTTTATATATCTCCTTTGTCTTTTATCATTTTTTTTTCTAATTTTTCTTTTATAATACTCCTGGTCTTTAAAGTGTTTTACTTTATATTAACAGTATATCTTAAGTTATTTTAATTGTCTTTAGGTTGCTAATACACACTTGAGAACAAGGATCTGGATTTATTTGACTTTATATTGGCAGTATGTCTAGCACAGTCCCTGGCAAAAAAGCCAGTTAGTGGCAGATCACTCAGGTCTCCCAAGATGGAGACCAGTGTTTCTTATTCATTACATTGTGTGGGCCCTAGTCACATTCACATTATGAATTAAAAGCCTTAATAATGATTGACTCTTAAATTAGCATTTTAACCAGACTTCAGTATGATTTTTAGCGATCTTTCATTGAATAAGTGAATATATGCAAAGAGTATATTGATGTTGCCACTTTGTATGAAATAGGCATGGATCAGAATTAATGTCCTCTGATTTGCCATTAGTCTTATATTAAAGTAACTTATTCAATGTGTGCAAAATGTTGTAATATTTAAAATGTGTTTTTAAAAAATGTTGCTTTCCCTATCCCCTGCCCGCCTTATTTTTATAAAGTTACCAGGCAGTGACATTGCCAGTGGGAGTGATGTTCTTTCTGATGTCATACCCAGTATTCCAAGTTCACCTTGCCTGCTTCCTAAAAAGAAAAACAAGCACCGGAATTTAGATGAACTTCCTTGGAGTGCAATGACAAATGATGAGCAGGTAAAGATCTTGACATTCTTAATTAGAAGCAATTATATGGAGAATATGTGAAACTCAGTTTATTTCCTTTTTAAAGCTACTGGGTAAATGTGGATTACTTACTAACTCTGAATTTGAGCTTTAACTAACTGTTTTTCAGGGAACAAATATTAAGTGCTTCTGATATATAAAACCTTTATAATTGACATACCGAAGAGGTTTTGCATTGATATTACTTGTAATTTTTAATCACATAGGTGGAATATATTGAGTATCTGAGTCGTAAAGTCAGTACTGAGATGGGTCTTCGGGAGCAACTTGATATTATTAAAATCATTGATCCTTCTGCTCAAATCTCCCCTACAGACAGTGAGTTTATTATTGAACTTAACTGTCTCACAGATGAAAAACTAAAACAGGTATGTAAAGAAAATATAGATTGTACACCTATTGAAAGTACTGCCATCTAATAAAATGTAGACTTGAATAATCATCTGTAAATACATAGATAATTAAGGTCAAAATCACTGCTGTGAAATGTAATATTAGAAAAAATGACAGTAATATTTGAGAACATGTAGTTTTAAGATGTTTTATATACATCTCACCTGGCAGTACTTTTCTGGCATCACTGTGGATCTAAAATCTGCTCTTCAGTTGTATAGGCTTTGAAACTTAATGTCACCACTTAAGGGATGGTTAAGCTAAGTATACATTTATTCTAATTCGATTTACAGGAGATGAATTGACAGAATCAAGATACTGATTAATGAGAGCTGTACTTTTGTGAACATCTGAGTGGAGGGATTTGAATAGTTTTATGGAGTAATTGAGCCTGGCTAGGGTAAAACCTAATGAATTTTACCTGTGCTATTCTGAGACCTGCATTTCTGGTATCTTCTAAATACAGTGTTTGCTGCTCCCTTTTTCTCTGGTACATTGCTGAATGAATACTTATATTCTTGTGTTCTAATCTTCTACTTTTGGTTTATTTGTTTTGCATTTATCATTGTTTATGAAAAAATTTTCTTATTTCAGTATTTCTCCCAACAGACACACTATAATTTCCTACATTCCAGCACATTTTTCATTAGTAGGGTAAATTGATGTCTTGCATTTGAAGACAGGTACTGTTGGCCCTTAGCTAAGATTTAGGAACACTCTAATCTTAGGTATAATCAGCATTTACCTAAATCATCTTAAATGGAGACCTTTAACAGATATCTAATCTCATCTATTTTATTTTATTGTTAGTTTCTGTTTGAGTACTGTATTTTTTAATAATCCTATATTCTGAAGGTCAGTAGCCTTCCATTTACTGATTATATTTTATATGCTTTTAAAATCTAGTTTCATAGCATGTTTTCTAGAATTTTGAACATTGTCAGTTTTTCTAGTACATGTTTCTAAGTTCAGAGATTTCTTTCACCCTTCTGTTCTATTATTATGCATCTGCAGCACTTTGACAGTCTTTTAGGTTAAGTACAATATGATTTTTTTTTCTAGCATTTTGAGGGTAGAACATCAAAGAACAGCACTAATCATTTTTTGTCTGTGTGTTTCAAGGTCAGAAACTATATCAAGGAGCATAGCCTTCGCCAACGGCCTGCGAGAGAGGCCTGGAAGAGAAGCAACTTTAGTTGTGCAAGCACCAGTGGAGTGAGCGGTGCCAGTGCCAGCGCCAGCAGCAGCAGTGCCAGCATGGTCAGTTCTGCAAGCAGCAGTGGGTCCAGTGTTGGAAACTCTGCTTCAAACTCCAGTGCCAACATGAGTCGAGCACACAGTGACAGCAACCTGTCTGCAAGTGCAGCAGAGCGGATTCGGGATTCAAAAGTAAAACGTCTAATCAATACAAAACTTTACCTTTCAATATTAATATTAGTAGTCCTTCATATAAATTTCTTGAAGAGTTAAACTGATCCTGCTGTCTAGATGCCTGTGGATTTCAGTTTTAATTGAACAAGCAGGATGCTCTGCTGTTGAACAAGGAAAGAGCTCTGGGCTGAGCACTTTGAAATACTGTTTTGACCCACAGCTATATTGAATTCAATTTTATCTGATTTTTCTGTCTGTTTTGTAAGATAAATTGAGGGAAATGAGTTATTCTCAAGATTACAATATTGACTGCAACTCACTACTGAGCGAATCTCACTATGTTGCTGATGTTGCTGTCTATTAGCTCCTGAGAATGTTGTGTATGATGTCTTTTGTGTGTTACATGTTTTATTAATGTTTCAATCTTGAATGTTTCTTCTTAGCTAATTTAAGAATGTAATAATGTTTTCTGTAATTTCTATATACTCTTCACAGTTGAAAAAATTTTGTATAATATTTTTTGGCACTTTTTTTTTTTAAAAAAAAGGTATACATGTATAAACAGGTTGAGTATCCCTGATCTGAAAATATGAAATCCTAAATGCTCCAAAATCTGAAACTTTTTGAGCACCGACATAATGCTCAAAGGAATTGCTCAAATGAGCCTTTTGGATTTCGGATTTTCGGATTAGGGATGCTGAACCAGTAAGTGTATAATGCAGATATTTCTGAAATCCAAAACACATCTGGTCCCAAGCATTTTGTGTAAGGGATACTCAACCTGTAGAATGGTTTTGTGGCTTAGCAGGGGAGTTTGGTTCCGTACAATGGCAACAGAGTCTGGAGCCATTTTAAGGTCAATAGGTGAATCTCTTAAACTCTTTGGGAACCCAGTGGTGACTTGAAGGTACACAATGATTCCTTCCCTGATTCTTAGCAAAGTAACAGAAACAGCCAGCTTTGTTGGTTGCCAAGGGATTTCTCTGGATATGTGGTCATTCCTTTTTGGCATCAGTTCACCAGTGACAAGGATTGGAGTACCCATTGGGTTTCTGATGGGCTTTTAAGATGGTATTTGCTTAATATGAAAAGGGCATGATTCTTTCCCAGACATTGTAAAACTGCTAGTGTTTTTGGTTGAAAGGCACCTGAAAATCATAAGCATTAGAGATTTGGGCAATGTTCTCTACATTTGTATTCAATATTATCCCAAGGTATTAATTGTGTGTTTGCTGCACATTGACACCAACGTACCTTAATTTGATTAAAAAAGTTTTTGAAATGATGGGTTATCCATAATTATCCAAAATGATCAAGTTTCAGCCCTTCCTAATGAGGTGAGTCAGTGGTCAAATACCATAAAATGGAATCTTGAACAATCATTTTCAAGTCTAAGCCAGTGGCTCACTTATTGGAACAAGGATCGTGGACTGCAGAGGAATTTGAACAGCTCTTAAAATTCAGAAAATAGAGAATTTGGTCCATAAAATACTTTGGGGTGGTTATGCCAAGAACTAAACCTTACTGATTTAGAATTTTTTATTTTGACAGAAACGATCCAAGCAGCGGAAGTTACAGCAGAAGGCCTTCCGCAAGAGGCAGCTGAAAGAGCAGAGGCAGGCCCGGAAGGAGAGGCTCAGCGGGCTCTTCCTTAATGAAGAGGTGCTGTCCTTGAAAGTGACTGAGGAAGACCATGAAGCAGATGTTGATGTTTTGATGTAATAAGGGTGAATTTATCAGTTTTCCTTCTGAGCATTAAAGCATTCTATCCTTATTGGTTTACATACATCTTGACCAAAATTTTGGTTAGGGCTGTGCTGATGTACCATTAATAATTTAGGCCAATGGTTCTCAGGGGTTGGTCCCTGGACCTGCAGCTTCAGCATCACCTGAGAAGTTGTTAGGATGCATACTACTGGGCCCTAACCCAGACCTAGTGAGTCAGAAACCATGGGGGGAAGGGCCCACCATTGTGTTTTAACAGGTTATTCTTTTGCACACTCTAGTTTAAAAACCACTGGATTAGGTAAAATTTTGATTATTTAAACTTTATGGTGGTTAAGTGGGCTTTTTCAAAGACTGGTACTTTTACAGTTTTGAAGATTTCAAGGTACTGCTAACAAGTAGTTATTATGTTAGTATATGTATATATGTAGAGGTCATAATTCAGTTCCCTTCTTAATGTTATGATTTCTTAGTTTACCTTTTCTAAAGGGCCATAGCATAATTCTCAATTCCTGATGGAAATCTTATTTTGAGGTGTGGGGGTGGGCAAGGTGTAGATTGCTGTTTACAATAGTGCCTTCATTAGGTTTAGTTCTGTTTTCATTCATTATTAATTCAAAGGTGTAAGGACAGGCCCTAATTTTTTTCCTTTTAGATTTGTTTTTGTTTATCACTTTATGTAAATTCAGAATTCTTTCTGTAAGTGATGGTATGGAGTAAATAATGTTACTAGTAGCTGAATTTTAGACAGGATGCTATATTGATTAATATTCAAATGGAGAAAACAATTAAGCAAAACAACCAATTCTTTTCCATTGCTTTCTGAAATTTTAGGCTGTAAAATTGTCTCAAAGGCAGAAAATCAATCTCTCTCTCAAGTTCTTTCTTAGGCCATTTTTTTTTCCAGCACAGCTCTAATTTTTTAATATTTGGTATAATAGCTTCTGGCATGTGAACAGGTTAATGTTCAAAAATAATTAATGAACATTATAGTTCTGCTAAATTTCTCTGTAAAATGCTAGAAATATACAGAGCAGTGAGGTATAGAAAACACTTTAGCTTGTTGATTATTAATAGAACTCTAATTTTAAATGTGAAATCATGGAATTTCTTTAAATGTTTTCCTAGAGTTTCTTATCATGAATATTAGAAATAGCTTCCTTTTCTTTTACCACATCTTTAAATACTCACATGGGTTAAAGAAGATGGAAACTGATACTACTGACAATCAAGCTGCTTTCTGACTTTCATAACTTTTTAAAATTGTGGATAATATTTGGGAGGTGATCATGATTCTGTAGGAAGAAGAGTTGTAATCAATATTTTTTTAAGTTCTAGAGTCCAGAGGTTAATAGGATATCTGCTTTTTTAAACTTGTTATATCAAGTAGCTCGTTAAGAAGATTAACAGCTTAAATTCTTAATTCTCAGTTGATATAAAGTCTTAAACTTTTCTTACAATCATGTATTTTCAAATTTGAAATAATTTTGGTTTCTTGAATGTTACAAAATTGAAATTGAAGATTAAAATTAATACATTGCAGCTTTGTTGAAGTCTGTGGTATGGTCGTAACCTTTTGAAGACTGTTACAGTCATAATTTTTAATTTTGCTAAGATAAAAGATCGTATATGTGTCTATGGTTTTCGGTTGGAATAGTCCTTATGACTTTCCTCCTACTCCCTCTTTGGTGGTCATAACCAGCTTAGAGGGCCCAAAGAGAGCTTGGGGATAGACCCCAGAATACTCTGAGGAAGGTGGAAAAGGTCAACCTGGTTGTTTTCTCATCCAGATGTAGGAAGAGCAAATAGAGAGAAAAGCAATATATGAGTTTTCTACTTGCTCTTAGCAAAAGCAAGATCCCACAGAATGATTGCCTGCTCTCTATACCTATTCTCTAAGGAAAATGGGCCACTTTTGGAGATCATAGAGCAGCATTTACCTGTCAAATATTGGAAACTACTTACCTGACAGTGACTAGTAAAAGAAAATCCTAAACAGGGTCATGATGTAATTTAAGACCAATTCCTCTATTCTTGTAACAATCACATAGTCTTATTACCTTAGGTTTAACTTAAGTCACTATTTAAGCAAGTTTACCAAAGTGCCACAAAGCCAATTTGTAGTTTGTGAAGGTTTTAGTGTTTATAGAAGTGCATCATAAAATTTTGTGTAAATCTGGGTGCACTGTCTTTACAGTACTATAAGTTAGAGATAGCTCATAAAGTTGGTTTGGAGGAGATTGAAAATATTTCCTTCGATTAAAAGAAAAAAAATAAACAATTTGGGCTCGCTTATGATTCTAGGGGGAGATTAAAAAGTCTTTCCCTATCCCCCCCCCAAAAAAAAGAAACCAGCAGAAGACATAAACAAAAAAGCTCTTTTTTCTTTGTTAATGTGCTATACATTTTTATGTTGTAATGCCTAATGTAGATAATTGAAGTTTGGATTATCTCTTTCTTGGAGTAATAATTTATTCAATCTGGTATATCTCTGAGTTCAATTTAAAACAAAACCAACTCAGTATGTTTTGAAATATGAACCCTAACCAATTAATAAAAAGGCGAGACTTAGCTGCTCCAGTGTTGATTCTCATCTGCAGAGAACCAACTTTTAAAGTAAACCTTGTGAACTGAGGGCATGATAAAGTCCTCACAGATTTACCCAGAAACACATTATTAGAGATCTTAAGGTAGTATGTCAGTTCTTACCACAGTATGAACCTTGAGTTAAACAAAATGGCATGTATTTTTCTACAGTTTTGCAACTGTATTAAAGGAAGACAGTGTACTCTAATGCGTAATGGGGTATAAAGGGCTAGTACATGCTGTCTTAACAAGAACTTAGAGTAAAATCACACTTTTTTTCATGAGACTTGTCTCATTTTTTGTTAGGCTATGGCAGTTTTGTTCAGTTCTTCCATTCCTTGGGTAAATTAGATATTACTGAATTAATACCAGAAACTGACTTCTCAAATAATAACTTTTTATAGATTGGGTGGACATCACATTTTACTTAGCTTTTAAAAGTGCTAAATCCCCTTATGTAGGAAAAATTACAAGAAACTACTGTATAAAGGTATCCAGATTCTGATGAGCTTTAAAAATTTTTAAATTTATCAAATGTCTTCATATTTAAGTCCAAAATATTAGTATACAACCAATACAGAAGTCTTACCTGTTTCTGGGTTCTCTAGCAGAGGCTTTTTGTTTGTGGCTTACTCTATAGCCTCATGTGCCTTAAAGGTGGTGAACTCTGTACTTTTTGTCAATGTCAGGCTTTTCCAAACTCAAAAGTAATCCAGGTGTTGTAATTCATTTCATATAATGCCCATGGTGTTGGGTATCAGTAAGCAAAGCCATTAAATTGAACCAATTAATGGTTATAGAGTGTGAAACAAAACAAAAACCTTCAGATCTTAAGTTTTATTTGCATAACTTTATTTTCATTGAAGACCCTTGAAAGTTATCTAAAGTGGAATTTAATGTATTCTTTAATTTTTTAAAATTTTTTCTGAAAAAGGGTCATAGGCCAGGATATTTTTTAAAACCAGATAACTTAGTATCTGGAAAGATAATTTGTTTGTTTATGTTTTTTTTGGCACTGGCCTATACAGGGATTCAAACCCCTTGACCTTGGCATTATAACACTGCTCTAACCAACTGAGTGAACCAGCCAGCCCCTGGAACGATAATTTTCAAGGTATAGACAAAAGCCCTTCAAGAATAGAGATTATGTAGCAAGTTGATTATCTTGTTAACTTTAGGGATTCTTTGAATTCATTTGTGTAATAGCTGGAACACTCCCCTCCTCTTTCCTTTAACAAATTACCTTTTAGCACTTCTGTCTTCAAGCAAAATGTTTGTTTGGAATTGGTAGGGGGTACTTAAAGTCAGTGTATAGTTTAGAACAGTAGATAGGAAAATTCCTAGTTGCATTCAAATAATAGTGTTGATGTTGAGCTCACTGACATTCAACATGTCTAAACTTGATATAAATTCAATCCTGAAAAGAACTGCTAGTTAGGAAATAAGTATTTGTAAACATGTACTGTGGTAACTTTTAAGTCTAATAAAGTAAGACAGATTTTTGTCTTAAAAATGATATTATGCTAAGTGGATGAGAACCATCTAAGAGATATTTCGAACTAGGCTTCTCTGTCCGCATAGTATCTGGAACATAGTTCCTTAGAATGCTGTAGTCATTTCTTTGGAAAATAATTTACTTATTCCAAAAGGCTTAGAAGGAACTCTGAAAATTCCTCTAACTGGCTATTAAGAGTAAGGAAGTTGTGTGGTGTAGCTGAAGATCTGAGTTGACTCACTAAAATTTTACTTTCATATTTTTTCTAATACAGGTATTAAAATTATTTGTTTTCAGCTCTTTTAAGTATTTTTCAAATTAAGAATGTTAATGTTTTAACATAGATCACATGATGGTAAATTAAATTATTTTAATTTGGCATTCATACTGACTCAGAAAAACTGGTTTGGTCTTTTCTGAATTCAGTATGTAGTACTTTTTCCTTATTAAGTTTTTTACATCTTTGTGGTCAGTGGAACCTGTGAAAATTTGTGTTCTTTTTTGTGGTGAGGGTGGGGTGAAAAAGGGAGAATTGCTCCAATTATGCATATACACTTTGACTATGTAAAGGTAATTGTAGAATTGATGTGTAAAGATGACAAATTATCACTTAACTATTCTGAATTGTTCTAAGAACAGTGGCCTGAAGCCATGACTTGTTTTGTGGAGCTGCTTGCTCTTTAACAGTAGCTTACCTATTGGATTTAAATTGACATTTTGGGGTTAGGTTATCTAGCTGAGGCTTTTAGGAATCAGCAGATAATGTCTGTTCCTGTAGTGGATCAATTTAATTTTATAATTGAATACTCTAATTTAGATATAAATATTATCCATTCTAAATCTTTGTGTTGGGAATTTAATTGGACTGTTGTCAAAAGCTATTAACAGTGAACACAAGTGTATGTAAAACATTTCACAGATGGTTAAAAATTTCAAACTATTTCTGTTTTGTTTTCAGTTTGAAAGATTAGTTATGTAGCATCAATATCATAACCAAAGCAAGTAGGAAGTTGACTGGTTTGGAGAATCTTCAAGTAGTCTTAAATACTGTAATGTATCAGATTGTTAACCAGGATTTTTTTCCTGTATTCCTGCTAAATGTATTACTATATTAATGCACTTTTGTATATATAACTGTCTTCTGTACATTCTGTACTTACTACAGTGTATATGGAGCCTGTTTTTCCTGAAACTGTGAGGGAATAATAATAGCTGTAATAGTCGTTTCTATTTTGAGTTCTTTCTGTACTTGAAAGTAGTTCAGTAGTTAAATCTAAATGAGTATGTATGGTTGTAATTAAAATTGGCAATGTGACAGAGCTGTCTTTTGAAACTGAATATCAAAATGAAAAGTATGGTTTTGGTTATTAAGAACTCTTGTAATATTTTTATCACTTTTGATATACCTTGAGTTTTTACAAACCCCACTGCTTCTTACTACTTATATATCTGAATCAGCTCCTTTCATGCTCCATCTCAGAACATTTACCAGCAGGGAAGAATTTCTCTCTTTTATTTTGCTCACAGTTTGGTTAGGGCTCTAAACTTTTGTGAAAGCCCCAATTTCCTAAATGTAATTGGCAAAACAGTTTTTTTCTGGAGATATCAGATATCTAGAGACAGTCTTTATAGTAAGTGAAAATTGGGTCTAATTTTTTATTGACAAAAAATAAGATCTATTTTCCTTATGTATTGATTGAAAATCTTTTTAAGTTTTAATTTTATAAAGGAAATGTCTGTGAGCAGTTTTATGTATAGATACAGGAGCAATTCAGCTTTTCAGCAGCAACTTTATCTCTTGCCACTAGAGGGAGGTTTGTGGTTGTTCTCTCCAGAAGGTGTCTTAGCTGCTTTTGTTTTTATTTTCAGAGGTTGGAATAGATTTTTTTCTCACAGTTCCTTTTGTGTTATTAAATACTTTCATTTATTAGTCAAAGGTAAGTTAATTAAGCTTGTTTAATGAAGCCAATCTTACTCCTGCTTTTCTGTAAACTTCAATTTTTAATAAATGTTAGGTATGTGAAATATGTGTATGTGTATGTGTGTGTATTCTTTTCTTAGGTACTCTAGAGCTGTACTGTCCATTATGTTAGTCACTAGCCAAATGTGGCTATTTAAATGAATTAAAATGAAATAAAATTTAAAACTTAGTTTCTTAGTCTTGTTAGTAACACTTCAAGTGCTCAATAGCCACATGTGGCTAGAGGCTTCTTACTGTATTGAGAATCACAGGATATAGGACATTTCCATCATCACAGAAAGTTATATTAGGCAGTGCCACTCTAGCGAGATGATGTTTGTGTAGTAGACGTTATCATTATTTTACTAATGAACAGTAGTCATTGGCTAAAAACTGCTGCCCACAGTTAACTGTTGTAGATAGCCGGTATGAGAGGAGAGCAAGCTATATTTGTTTCTACTTCATTAAAGCTACTACCAAAGTTGGTATTTTAATGGAGAAATTTCTCAAATATTGACCATTTCACTTGACTATGAATAAGATTTAATATTTGACTAATGTGGGGAATTTGGTGCCAGTTTCTCAGTTTTTATTGCTGCAAAGAGTGCTGCCATATAGCTTTTTCTGTTCATCCTTTGATGCAAAAACAATTGTAAGTGACAATGCTGGGACACAGAACTTAATACATACATTTTTAAAGATTCCAATTTTTTAAAACTATGCTTACAAATAAGTTGAAGTGTAAATTTCAGAATCATCCCTCAGGGTGTTTTTTAAATTAATCCTTGTGATGTGAGAGCCTTAACTGAGTTGTAGTTTACTTGATTCTGACAATCCTCCACCCTCTCACTATCAATTTGGATCTCATGGTAAGCGGGAGGTTTATTACATTATCCATGTTTTTTAGTAATAGGTTGATAGATACTAGATTTAGGTACAATATTATTTCCCTTGGTAATGAATAAATAATGGTTTTAACATTACAGTTTATTCATTTGATCACAGGATCCTTCTATATGCTTTTTTTTATCTTAAAAACAGCAGATAACTGGATTTATGTATTTTCAACTTTGTATTATAAAAAACAGTAAAATGAATCCCCACATACCCATATCTACTTCAAGTCTTCTTTCATGGCCAATCTTATTTCTTTTACCCCCACTCAACTATTCACTCACCTTACCTCAACTCAACACTAAAGCGAACCCCTGGTGACATATTTAATATTTCAGTGTGTGATTTTTAATAAAAGTTCCTATTTTATGTATGATACTATCATCATTACTCCATAAATAAAAAATACTTAAATAGCTGGTCTAGTTATTTGAAATCAAAATCATAATTGTCACTCTTATTAATTTCAAAATCTATTTTGTTAGCACCAAGGTAAAATACATAGTTATTTTTACTATTGCTTGATAAGTCCTGATGATGTCTTGAACATTTTCATTGAAAGTGAGGTATCTATTGCTTTTAGATAAAAACAAATTCCAGTTGTTTTCTTCATTACCTTGTTATTTAAGCCATGGAATAATTTGGGTAGCAGGCAGGAGGAAGGGAAGTTCAAGATAAGTTGAATCAGGTATTTTGTGCTACTTACCTCTTGGACCAAGAATTTTATGTTTTAGGTAAAATTGGCCCACATGGTACAGGTTTGAATACCTAGTATTTATAAAGAATTCTGTGAGGATAAGTGGATGAATTTAAGGAAAAATAGATATTTTTATCTCATTATCCTTTAGAAATCAAGAAATCTTTTTTAACAGATATAACAGACTATTGGGTTTTGTTTTACATTTTAGCTTACTGAAGTTTATACTTAACCAAATTGTAGAATTTGAGAATTTGAAAGGACTTTGGAGATAACCTAGCTTGGTGGTTTACAAACTTGAGCAGTGCATCACAGTCTTCATAAGGGCTTGTTAAAACACTGGTGACTAGGCCCCAGCCCCAGAGTTTTTGATTTGGTAGGTCTGAAGTGGGGCTTGATAATTTGCATTTTTTAAGGAGTTCCTATGTGGTGCTGATGCTGCTCATCCAATACTCAGAACTCCTGATAAGCTCAGTCCCTTTTTCTGCCTTCCTCCCTCCATTTTGCAAATGAGGAAATTTACACTAATAGTCATGTGACTTCTTTGCCCAAAACTGGCTAGTGACATAGCCAAATCAAATCCATATATATATTTTTTTTGTCTTTTTCCGTGTCCGGCAACGGATTGCAACCCTCAGTGTCGCCCCCGTACCGGACCGGGACCGGCAACGGGATCGCAACCCTCGGTGTTGCCCCCACGCCTCACTCAGCCAGTGAGCGGGAACCGGTCTGTATGTGGGATCCGAACCCTCAGCGGGAGCGCCTCCGCGCTTCCCAAGCGGCGCACTAGCGCAGTGCGCCACCGGGCCGGCCCCTCAAATCCATATATTGAGGTGCCTTATTCACACCTTGAGTCCAAGTGCTTTCCTTTTATACATTTTTTCCTTCAGAGTAGTTGGCTCCAAAAGCTTTGTTGAGCCTTCTCTCTATATTTGGATTTTCTTGGTAGTGATAAATCTTTGACTCCCTAGATGAGAAGTTTTTAACTTGGAGTCTAGAGATCAAAATTGTTGGCAAATTTTTTTGTTTGCTGATGTGTTTTTCTGGGGAGGGTTCTATATCTTTTATCAAGTTCTCAACTGGGTTTCCTTCCCCCAGGACTAAGACTGTCTTTTTAGGGCAATTTTGGATTTTGGAAATAACCAAGGGTCATTTAGAGGCAGGCTGGTGGTGAATGTGAGTGAAAAACCTGGAAATTGCTGGATTTGGTCAATAAGGTGTGAGTTTTGAAGGAATAGACTTTTTTTTTTTGGTGTGTGGCCTAAAAACTGGATTTGACATATATAAAGAAAAGAGTTTCAAAAATACATGGGGCAATGACAGCGTTATTGGACTAGGTGTATGTGGCACTACTCGGGCTAATGTCAGAATCCTGCTGACGTTGCCAGTTTTCGCACTCTTAATCCTGTTCGTGACGCCAACTGTAAAGCTACATGGCTATGCCAGTTGTTGGGCTCTTTTACCTGCCAGTAATCCTGCACTGACTGGGCCAATTGCCGAGCTAGGGCTGGGTCTGGAGCTAAAAGACCCACCCCTCAAGCCCGTTCACAGACTGGGTCACAAACCCTTCACACACCAGGCTGGGTCACCAGACCCCTTATACACAGGTCTACGAGCTAGGTAACCTGCAAACAGGTCCTTGGAAGCCACAGGTTGGAAGGCATTACTGAGTGCGGCGGTGGCCACCTGAGGCACTAGACACCAGCCAAGTTGGCAGTGCTGCGCAGGCGCACTAACTCCACCCCCCCACACACACAATTTGTTTACTGAACCACCCCCAACCGGGCCAAGGCGAGAGGACCTGACCAAATTGTTCCATTTTCCCAACGGTGTATTATGATGTTATGGAATAGGGATGATATTAATTTGGGTGTGTTAGCTCTTATTGATTAAAAAGTTTCTATTACTTTATAACCATAGCATGTACTCTAGAAGAAAACTTCCACTAATGTTTTAGAAATATTTGGTTAGGGGCCGACCCCGTGGCACACTCAGGAGAGTGCGGCGCTGGGAGCGCAGCGACGCTCCTGCCGCGTGTTTGTATCCTATATAGGAATGGCCAGTGTGCTCACTGGCTGAGCGCGGTGCGGACGATACCACACCAAGGGTTGCGATCCCCTTACTGGTCACGAAAAAGACAAAAAAAAAAAAAAAAGAAAAAAAAATATTTGGTTAGGTTTCTCAGAATTATTTACCAAATCTGAGATAACTAAATAGTTGGTAATTTGAAAACTTTGGGGTATAGGCTTTTGATTTAATGGTCATTATACCATTCTCTTTAATTTGCAGATGAGAAGCTTGAGGCCAAGAGAAGGTAAGTGCTCTATCCAGGTCTCTGTAGCTGTAGACTGGAGCTCTTTCCACTGTATCACACTGCTTCATATCATGCTGCTATTTTTCATAGTGGTTTGCACACTTGTACAACTCACACCAAGAGACTGAGAAAACATCTAAAGATTTTGGTATAGAATAGTGGTTCTCAAAGCGTGGTCCCAGTATGTGGACCAGCACAATCAGCATCACCTGGGATCTTGTAAAAGGTACAGATTATCAAACCCTACCCCATGCATACTGAGTAAGAAATTCTGAGGGTGGAGCCCAGAAATCTGGGTTTTAACAAGACTGCTAGAGGATTCTGATACACGTTTAAGTTTGAGAATCACTAGTAGAGAGTCGTGTTTCTCTACTCTGGCCAAACATCAGAATCATCTAGAGAACTTTTAGAAAATACTGGCGCCTAATACTTGCCCCTCACTCAGACATTAAGTTAGAATCTCAGAGTTGAGGGCTGGATATTTATTTTTTTGTAATAAATGTTTTATTTTGGAATAATTTTAGATTTACAAAAATTGGTAAAAATAGTACAGGGAGTTCCTGTATGTCTCTCACTCAGTTTCTCCTAATGTTAACATCTTGTATAACTGTGGTACATTTGCCAAAACTTTAAGATTAACATTGGTACATTACTGTTAACTGAACTACAGACTTTATTCAGATTCCATTGGTTTTTCCACTAATATCCTTTTCTGTATTCCAGAATCCAATCCAGGATTCCTCATTGCATTTAATCATTATGTCTCCTTAGCTTCCTCTGGGATGATAGTTTCTCACTTTTTCCTTGTTTTTCATGATCTTGACAAATATGAGAATTGGTCAGGTATTTTGTGGAATGTCATCCCGCAGTTGGGATTTGTCTGATGTTTCTCATGGTTAGACTGGGATTTGGGGGTTTGGGGAGGATTACCACAAAGGTGAAATGCCATTCTCATCACATCATCTTGAAGGGTACATCCTATCAACATGGCTTAACACTTGTCTTGCTAACTTTGATCACCTGACTAAGGTAGTGTTTGCCAGCCTTCTTCATTGTAAAAATTTCCTTTTCATACTCTGTTCTTCAGAAGTAAGTCACACAGTCTATCCCTCGCTCAAGGGGGAGAGGAAAAATTAGGCTCCATCTCCTGCAGAGTAGAATATC